CAAAGTCTTCGCACATAAGATGGTACCAAAGGGAGCCCACCCAGAGCAAGTATTCAAGCTGGTGCGTTCCTCTTTGTGCCCCATTTTTTCAAACCCTACACATATTTATGAGGATATGATATATCCTCGTACCCCATCTCTCAAGAGCAGACATTTTGCACTCAGTTGTAGTTGTTTCCTGGCCCTTGGGTCCTCAGATTAGAAATTAATACCTTGATTCTTCATCAACAGCACCATCTCTCCATTTGCCAGGAAGGTGGTACCAGAAGTTGGCAGAGCCCTGACCTCTGTAGGGGCACGTGGCAGCAAGACTGGCAGCATGCGATGGGGAAACTCACTCACTCGTGCAGAGACTTGTTCTTCCTTGTCCTTGATATGCTCACACCTGATCTGATTACGTACCTCTCTACTTTAGCTTTGCACTGCTGAAATAACTGTGGCCTGGTGAGGCTGTCTTGCCATTCTTCAGAGAACAAAAAACTTCATGCAACATCACTGAAGAATGTTTTTCAGGGGTTATTTAGAAGAAATTTTCCTTGGGTCTGTGTCATATTTGGAAGAGACATGAAGTACATCTTGTGTAGAATGAAGTAGTGTTTGGGAAAATTTGTTAGTTGAAGCAGGCATGAGGAAGATACTCATTGCTAATGCATGTGATTCCATTTATTGCATGCATCTCTTAAAACTCGTGGTATCAGGCACCACATACTCCTAGCTGCTGACTATAGAAGCGGGAACAAAAAGTACATGAGAAAGGACCTGCAGTCCAGCTAATCTAACCCAGGCTTTTCCTTTCAGTTACTTTTATGACCCAAAATAGGAATCAAACTGTGACATATGTGTGGAAAAGCCCCAAAGCCTATTTAGTGATGTTTGTTTTGGTATCTAAGGTATTCTACCTGTGGTTTAGAAATATATTATTTCCTCTTGCATGAAAAAACAGCTGAATCATGCTGCAACTTGAACAGATAATTTCTTCCTCCTTCAGCTGGTTAGAGAGCAGTCCCGTTAATGATGGAACAAAGATAGCCAGAGGCTGATGATTTAAACAAACTCACTGCTTGCTGCAAACCGCATTTATCTCTGCCTGTTGCAAACTGACAGAGGTTGTTCTCCTTACTGGTATAGTGGGTTAGGTGTAACTGGACAAACCAGGCTTGTTCCAATGCTTGCTTCCTCGTGTGATAAGATCTATCTCAATAGACCTATTGAACCTAAAGAGCTAACTGCAATAAACATATTCTTGATAAATAATACTTTTCAGCTGAGTTATTCCATTCTGTGTGGGAATGTTCACACACATTTATTAGGGTGGAGACATTGGGCTTTAATAGTAACACCTTGCTTTAATCTGCATTAATATTCTAGTGAAGATGAGTGTGAAGGAACTCTGTTGCCTTAAATATCTTCTTGAAGGGTGAACATAGTTAAAGATAACTGTCCTCCAAAGGACTGAAGAAACCAGGAAAGTTTGGGAGCCATTATAGGGATCCAGCTGCACGATGGAAGCATGCCATCGTGCTCTGGCTGGCTCAGAGAGCAGGAGGAGCAGGGTCCTGTGACATCATCTGTGGACGCTGACAGTCTGGGGTTGTTCTGGATGCTGCTACAGATCCAATGCCTCTTGGATGATCCTGGAGGCCTGTCTTTGAGCTCCAGTCTGTGCAGCTCTAAGCCCCATTTCCAACAGCTTTTCTGTCCTCCAGCCCTGCCTGTGGAGCATGAGTCATGGGGGAACATAGAGCAGGATCTGCCAAGAGGTGCATCATGGGTTGCTGCTGCAGGGCCTCTGCAGAGCCATCCTTGACCAGCGCAGAAATATTAGTGTGAAGCTCTTTACACTGTTCTGCATCTTTGTTCTTGTCAAGAGGCTGGGAGTGGAATTTGCTGTAACTGAGGCTAATGGGAACAGGAGCTGAGTCCTTCGTGGGAGTAGACCCTACACTGGTCCATTGCCCACAAACAAAACGATGGAGGAATGTACTTATGTCCAGGCAAGTGTTGCTCCTATTTGCCGTGAAAGCTCGGTTAGCTCTTACAGAACAGTTCTCTGCCTAATTCCCACTTGACATGTGACCCAACATGATCCCAGGGTCAGTGTCCACTGCCTGCTGCGGCCTCCCCTCCACTGGTGAAGATCTTTATGCCCTGATCCCGTATTCTCCATGGGAAGCAGTAGAAGACTGAGAATGAACCCTTCATGCCACCTTTGGGATACAGCGGCAATCGTGGCAATGACTGATACTCACTGCCTGCACACTCCTTCTGGGAAGCCAGCAAGGTTCCTCTAGACTTGTCCTCACACTGACGGTCTCCAGCCTGCGTGTTTGCATTGCCACCTCACTCCTGAAAACCCCTGAGGAGCAGTTCCCTGCCAGCGTGCGCAGAGGGGCTGGGTTAGGTAGATGTGGAGTGACACGCGGACAGAAGTCACCTTTAAGGGAATGGTGCTGCATCTGCCCTGGGTTTGCCCAGCACAGGACAGTAGTGCCAGGCATTCATAGCTGTGACAGGGACAAACAGCAGGACCATGACCAGTGTTAGGAGAAATAACTGGTCCCTAAGGAGCTCCTGGGCTTGCAAAGCGCTTGTTTGCTCCAGCAAGATGCATTCTTTAAAAAACCTTAATTTTAACTGGTGTAATTTCCTCACTGGCAGTAGCAAAAAGGCACCAGTAGTAATAAACCCTCAGTGCTATTTTTCAAGTGTCTTTTTTAACAAGGGTTAATCAGCAGTAAAATTAACAGGCCCCTGGAGGGAGCTACCAGCAGTCCATGCTGACTCACAGGTTGAAATTTATTGCAGCAAGGAACTCGTTTGCATTTCCTCCGGCATGCAGAGAGAGAGGGAGGAAAGAGAGGCAGCATTTCAGCCCGCATCTGGGTCTTCAGCGGACTCTGCGATGGCAGACAGAAAAGCTGAGTCACTGCATTCCACCATCGGGCTCTTGGGCATTTCCGCAGGTAGGGATCAAGTCCTCTTGGCACGGGAAGATGGGGTTGGGACTAGCTCTCACGGACCACCCTCTTTTCAAAGGGGGCTCATGAGCCTGTTTATTCTCAGTCTTCTCTGCCTAGGTAAAGCTTTTAGATCCAGAGATCCCTGTGACTGTTTCAGCAGCCAACAAAATATTTGTCTTGGCTTTAAAGTGCTGGCCTGAACTTTTGCACTGGATCCATCCTGGGTGGGAAGCAAATCAAAACTTTTTGGTAGTCATTTTCATAAATGATCTTATTTGGATGCACTTTCCTCTCTTTTCCTTTTCTAGCCATTTCCCCTGCAGCTCCGTTTTCTGTGTTCACTCCCTTTCATTTGCTCCTTCTTTGCATTTCATCCTTCGAGTGCTGCCCCTTTTTGGTTTTAGGCTCGTTTTCTGTAGGCACAAGGCTTATGTGATCATCCGTAGTGTATGCGTGCCTCTGCCTTTTGGGTAGCTGGAAACGGAGAGCTGATTTTTACCTTTATCTAACAACAAGGGAGCATTTTCAAACATGATTAAGTTCCAGTTTCTTAAAACTAGGCACACCGAAAGAGGTGATATCTTGGACAAAAACCGAGTTACAACACCCACCCCCCCTCAGCTCCTTAGATTTCATTAATTGCATGTCCTGTACTGTTATTTTTTCTCTGTTCCCTGCTCTTGCCACTCTGGTTCACTCCTGGTTTTTTTGGGCAAAGTTTACAAGCCCTTTCTTTTTTTCCACCTCGCTTGTCCCACGCAGGATCACTCTTACTGGCGGTGCATTTCTACAGTCTGCCCAGAGCAGCCCCTCTGATCCCCAGCACAGCTCTAGGAGTCCTGCTGTTGGTGCCGTCGTCCCTCTTGGTGTATGCAGGTGAGACTCAGGGGCTGGTCAGCTTCAGGGCCTCCCCCTGCCATGGCTTTGCATCTGTTTGCTTCACTTTGCAAACACATTTATACAAACCGTGGCAGCCTTGCCAGGCAACTGATTCATTCTCCTGGAGGAGTATGTCAGCACAGCAGTTTTTTCCTATATAGGCAATCAAAGAAATCAATGTTCGTTTTGAACAAATGCTTTGCCAGGATCTCTGGGAGTTTTAACAGGCAGAATACATGATTTCCCAGGCTTTCTGAGAGTACTTAGGGCATCCATGGATTGAAATGTCATGTTGATGTGTAAATGCCAGAGATCTACTTATCTGAGAGAAAAAATCGCTGGTGATAACAAAGTCCATGCTTTTTAGAATGAATGACGAGTTATTTCTTCTTTTTCACTCAGAGTGAGGAGGGCATGAAAATCCAGGATTTGATGCTGGTATTTTTTTCCCT